GAGAGAGAGAGAGAGAGAGAGAGAGAGAGAGAGAGAGAGAGAGAGAGAGAGAGACTGTTTGCAGTTATTGGTTTTCTTCTGCTGCTGTGTGTTCTGGGGAACGAACTCAGGTTGTTAGGCTTGTGTGGCAGGCTTACCTAGAACTCACTGTGTAGCCCAGGCTGGCCCCAAACTTAGCAATCCTCTAACCCTAGTCTCTCAAGTATTGGGGTCACAGGTAGTAACTGCCATGCCTAGTTCTCTCTGTGTTTTTTAAAGAATTTTATATTTATTTTGTGTGTATGTGTGTGTGCTCTAGAGCACATATGTGTGGATTCATGTGCCACAGCATGTATGTGGAGGTCAGAGGACAACTTGCAGGAGTTGGTTCTTCTGTGCAGATACTAGGGATCAAACTCAGGTTGTGAAGCTTGGGGCTGGTGCCTTTTTGTCGGTCCTTATGTTATGAACATCCTAGAGATTTTAATGAGACATTAGAAGTGTCTCATTCAATGCGCTTTAGTATTTCACAGATCTATGCCACTTATCCTGGCAATCTATTTTGGATCACTTCACTTCTTAAAAAAGAGATTTCAAGGCTTGGGATGTAGTTTAGTTGGTAGAGTGTTTGTTCAGTGTACATAAACCCCGAGTTCCATCCCCAGCACGGCATAACTGGGGCATGTATATTGTCACATGTGAGGTGCTAGATGTCACTAGCCCTGTCCTCAATTATGACACTAAAATTTTCTCCAGATATTACCAAATGGTGGGAGGGCAGAGGTAGAGCTGTCTCCATTAAGAACCATTGGGCTGGAGAGATGGCTCAGTGGTTAAGAGCACCGACTGCTCTCCCAGAGGTCCTGAGTTCAATTCCCAGCAACCACATGGTAGCTCACAACCACCTGTAATGAGATCTGGTGCCCACTTCTGGCCTGCAGGGACACATGCAGGCAGAGCACTGTATACATGATAAATAAATAAATCTTTAAAAAAAAAAAGAAAAAGAAAGAATCATTGACTTTGGGCTCGAATGATGGCTCAGCAATTAAGAATGTGTACTGCAGATTGGGCATGGTGGGACATGCCTTTAATCCTAGCACTTGGAGGCTAAGGCAGGTGGTCCCTGTGAGTTGAGGCTAGCCTGGTCTACATAGTGAGTTCCAGAACAAGCAAGAACTACATAGAGATACCCTGTTTTAAAAAATGTGTACTGCTCTTGCAGAGGACCTGAGTTTTCTCAGCACTCCCAGTAGGCAGCTCACAGCTGCCTGTAACTCCAGCTCCAGGGTATCCAGTGCCTCTGACCTGCACCTATGTGCATCCCTACACACAGATGCATAATTAAAAATAAAATAGTCATTGGCTTAGAGAAATCTAGTTCTATTCCTAGTTCCTTATACTGGTTCCTTTTCTCATCTCTGTGACATAATTAATACCCCACCCTAACAGCTTAAGGGAAGAGTGTGTGTTTGTTTTTTAAAATTGAGATGGGCTCTCATGGAACCCTATGATGACCTTGGACTTCTGATTCCTTGGCTGTTACCTCCCAAGTTCTGGGATTCCAGGTAGGTACCATCAGCTTTGGTTTATGTAGTGTTGGGGGTGGACCCCCAGGGCTTTGTGAATGCTAGGGAAGCACGCAAGCAGCTTAGCTACCTCCTGAGCCTTGGATGGTTTAATTTGCCTCACAGTTTGAGGAGCTATAACCCATCAGGATGGAGGAGGCACGGCCGTGAGACTGGCTCCCGTCCGTGTTGGTGGGAGGGAGCATGAGGTGGGTTGTTTCACGCTGTAGGCAGACACCAAGTGCACAGCAAAGCTGGTCTATTAACTCTCATCCCATACTATCTGCCAAGTAGGCCCCTCGTCCAAAAGGTTCCTTGCTGTCCCTAAACAGCGCTACAGCTGGGGGGCAAGTGTTCAAATACAGGAACCTGTGAGGGTGCATTCCATACTTGCACCATGACATTCCTCTACTTCTCCTCTACCTTCCTGTATAGCAACTATTTGTTCTTTTGTTCTTGGTTCATTCCATTTAAAAAATGAAATTTTATTTGAGTGCATGTGTGTGTGTATGTCTGGACACATGTGCCACAGTTTGCCTGTCATGGTGGAGACCACTTTTATGGGACTCGGCTCTCTCCTTCTACCATATAGGTCTTATAGAGGTCTTGGGGGTAGAACTCTGATCATTAGCTTGGTGACAAGCATCCTTATCTACTGGGCCATCTTCTTTATTTTCAGTTTTTAGAGACAGAGTTTCTCTGTGTAACCCTGGCTGTCCTGTTCTGGAACTCGCTTTGCAAATCAGGCTGGCCTCGAACTCACAGAGATCCACCTGCCTCTGCCTCCCGAGTGCTGGGATTAAAGGCGTGTGCCACCACTGCCTGGCTGTCCATTGGGCGATCTTGTTAGCCCCATTTTTGCATTTTAAAAAAAATATAAATAGGGGCTGGACACATGACTCAGCAGTTAAGAGGATCTGTTCTTGCAGAGGACCTGGGTTCAGGTCCCAGCACTCACATGGCAGCTCACAATCATGTATAACTGTAGTTCCAGGGTATTTGACGCTCTCTTCTGGCCTCCATGGGCACCGCATGAACACGGCACACTTACAAACATACAGACAAAACACTTATACATGTAAATAAAAATAAATCTTGAAATTAATTAAAAATAAAAACAAATGTGTATGTCCATCTGTGACTTCTCCCCTTTTTAGATACATCATAGCATATTCTTCTCATTTTTTTCTGACTTGCTTTTTTTCACTTGGCATTATATGCTGGAGATCACCCCATGGAAGGGTATAGAAATATTCATGCCTTTTTATAGCTTTCAATTCAAACCATAATGAACCGTCACTTCCCAGCCAGATGGTACTTTTAAACCTGATGCTCAGAAGGCCTCATATCAGCAAAGAGTTCCTTAGGAGGCTTTAATAGAAATGTATTTCCTGAGTAATAGCTGCAGTGGCTCTGCCAGGAAAATGATGGGTTTTCTTCTTCAGGAGATACGTTGGGACAGGAAGGGATTTTACCAGTAGGTGCCGCTATTAGACAGCTTTGTCGAGGGTAAGTCTTGGCTGACTACTCTTAGCTCGGTATGTGTGCACAAAGAAAAATTGATGCACAGGATAAAAAAGTTAAATCTATAGAAAAGCTTATCATAAAAGGACTTCATTTACCTTATTTTGTGTTATTTTTCTTCTACAGAAGCAACTACATTCATTTTTTTTTGCTGTTGTTATTAATTCAGGGACGCGTGAGTGCGTGCATGCTTGTGTGCGTGTGCGTGTGTGTGTGTGTGCGTGTGTGTGTGTGTGTGTGTGTGTGTGTGTGTGTGTGTGTGCATGCACCTGTCCATATGCATGGATGGATATATAAACTTTTTGGGGTAGGCAGTGCAATGAATGGGAACGCAAGGCACCATGTGTTCTAGCTAAGTAAGTGTCCTACTACTGGGCCACACCCACAGCCACTCTAGCTAGCATGCTGAAGACATTGTTCCCACCTTACCCTGATCACATATCATTGTGTAAGGACCTTTTACAACTTGTCTAGCTGTGTGCACTATGGGCCTGACAGTATTTATTGCATTTATGCTATTGTGCTTATAGTATTGTATTTAGGTTGTACTCTTTATTTTGTTAACCTTAAATCACTCTACATTTTGACCTCCATGTGCAAATATGTTCTGTACCCA